TATACCTAATATATAATATTAATATATATAATATAATAATATATATAATAATGAGACAACGTTTCAACGCGTTTCAACTCATTTATTCAATATCTCACGTGCTGAAAAGCACTTCGAGTATCTGCATGCCTCGTTCACCCCGGTCACTCCGACCCCGAAGTCCCTTGAGCTCTCATAGACGGCGTCGACGCGTAACTATGTTAATCGGAGTCTTACTAGCAGCACGAAGCCGCCACAAACCAGCTGTTCTCCTTGGCTGGGTGACACGGCAGCGTCTGATCGGGCGCAGCTTGACGGTCGAGGCAAGCCACTCTTGGACCTGCGCCTCTGCATCGGAGCCTCCTCCTCTGAGCCGCGCGTCTACCTTTCACCTGTTATTGGACTGGGCGATCCATGCTCTTGTCTAAGCCAAGCGTTGACTTCGAGTGACACAAAGCGTTTCGAGCGACTCTTATATACGCGGTCCTGAGAAAAGATTAAATCGAGAAACTTCGCTATCTATAGTTTCATGCAGTGCTGGCTGTTATCAAAGTGTAGTCTTTTCTTTAGGAGAAACGATGTTAAGCTTGACACATAGCCCCTACAGGGACACGACCAGCCAATTTTTCCGATGATATTAAGTAAAGCTAAACATGTTTTTAGTAAACTTGTTCTGTGCGTATCGAGCGTTTACTTGCTAATCAAAGAAAATTACCATGCGTTTTGTGGTAACCAAAGATATTTCCGGAGAAACCTTACCCAAGTGCACGCAGCGGCTTTTATAGATACTTGTTTATTGATGATTTATTTATTGAAGTGTGTTATTTAAAGAACCACAGACTGTTGGATGTGTACAGTATTGCTTTTTGAATTTACGGTAATTGCGTATTACCAAGAACACTTTACTGCTCAACGATACCAAAAAAAAAAGGTGATTTAAGTTCATTATAACAGCAACTTCCTAAATTGCTATTATTTTAATGGAATAAGGTGCAATAACTAGCAGTTTCCACGTCGCATACAGGCTTTCTTCCATTGCTGCGGGCTGAACAAGGCTTGTGCGTGCCCCAGATTTAAAACGTGGGAAAAACTAGATCACAGGAACACCTAGATAAGTACTGATCATATCACACGTTGCTACTGTGCTGACTTTCAGGCGCACCTCTAATGCTCAAACAAGCGGGCTGGCCGTATAACGAGATTTAATTACGATCATAATGGATAGCAACATGTACGCGCCCGTACAATTATGTGTTGATCTTATAAAATGGACCAGCTTTCATTATACGTTGTGTTATTATTATTATTATAGTACTAAAATATACAAAACAACGTATTTCCGGAACAGGTGCCGCGATTGGCCACTGCATGCACCCAAATTCTAGACGTTCGGAAATGTCTTGCTGAGGTTTGGGAGTAGTCGCTTGACCTAGTTTTAAAAGCATATGGGACGCCGTCTGTGCAAACCCAGCCTACACTGGCTTTTACTGTTCCGTTTTTTTTCAAAGAGCCTGATACAATTTTAGGCACGTTATGATCGGCAAAAGAATCATCGTGAAAGACAAGAAGAAGCCTGAACAATGACGGAACGACATGTGGAGCAGAACAGACGGCTACGCGAAAAATAAGGTCTGCTTTTTAGAGGCGCGCGCTAGTGCACCTATAAAGTGATCTACCTACGAAATAACATCGACGAGTATAATGGTAAAGATTGTGCCGGTCCTTGTATTGGGAGTCAACGAAAGAGTATTGACCTTCGGTTGGGAATTGAAACGAAAGGACACCGACGAGGATATTTTATACATTTACCAGGTAGGGACCGAACGAAAGAAGTGAGGTTGTTGCAGTATATTTGTGTGTACTACACAGTAATGTTTGTTCTTGTAAGATTCCTTGTACTGTCGCTGGGTGGGTCCAGGTCGATCTATAGGTTTTTGCCAGATGAATCTGGGTCGGTTTATAAAATGATCTATCTCGAATCGAAAGAAATATCGTCGGCAAGGAAACACTAACGTATTTAGATCCAAACCTGATCCGCCATAGACTGCTTACCGTGTTAATTAGGTTCCATGAAGAACTGAGGAACTACACTCAATGAAGGCTGCTTAGGAATATGCGGTGTCGCTGCTGTTCGCGACAATAAGTAATTCCGAGGCTGTAATAGAGGCATCGTTGCACTATAGTATATTTTCAATGCGGCAAAATCGATAGGAGACCAGTATACTATGCAGAAGCAAGACAATGGTACCAAAAATTGAGCAAGTCTGCGGTACTTCGCTAATACAGAGGCCCAAGCAAGAGGTCACAACTTCCCGACAACCACCTGATTAAGATAGAAAGTAACAAAAAAGTAGAGAATTCAGGCATAAAAAAAATGATTTAAAAAAAAATATGACTTACGGAAAATACCAGTCAAAATTGAATATTTTTCATAAAATATCATTTCTGAATTTAAGTCTAGTTCGGCTGGTTTGTTCGACCCCAAAACGATCCGTTGTAATGCAGGTTACTAGAACTTCATCTTTCGTTGATTGCTAGAGCGTTATCGCGAAAAGAGCTGTGTGGATTTTTGGCATTTTTACTGGGAATGTTTCGTTTTTTAATAAAACGTAGTATTAATTCAGGGAAATTGCTCAATTTTTTTCTGATTTGCTCAATAATCATCATTTTTGTGGATTGAGTGTAAAATTGGATTTAGAATTTCTTTATTTTTTGCAAGTTTTTGCAATTTTTGCCGAAATTATTCCAATTTACTTTTTTAATGTATGTGAGTACTGTTGCCAAAAACATTTTGTTCTCCCGATAAATATCGAGAGTATAAAAAAAGCCTTAAGTCGTAGAAGTACTTTGAAAAGTATAAACGAGTGGCTTCCATTAATTTTTTTTTTAGATGGATGTATATGTTCTTAAACGTAAATCACACAATAAAAAAAAGCTACAAGGGATAATAATGGATTTTTAATCATATCGATGAAAATCTTGTCACTTACTCTATATTCTACGTTTGCGGGTCTACTATCGGCTCAAGAGAAATAAGTTAGTCAACAGGGAAGTGTATACAACAAATTAGCCATTCACAGGTTGAAGTTGCCGAAAAAACAAAATATCAGATGATAAATAAATCAACGGGGTACCATTATAATTTTCAGCAGCAGCTCTGCAAAGTGTTCACATTACATTAGAATACATAATTTTTACATTTAAGTAATCATCATTAAATCCACATACTTACTTAGTCGGTCGTATAAAAAAGGCAAGTTACCTTCCTAAAATGTATGAAATTCATTCTGTTCACTGCTTACAGGCTTAAACGCAAGTAGTTCGATAGAAGATCGATTGCACGAAAAGACGAACGTTAGTGGTAGGGTATGTTTGGAATAGGAACAAATGCCCATTATGTCAGTGAACCGTGTCAGGCACACGTGACAACTACCCTTAAACTATTTAGCATCGAAAAGAAAAAAATTCTGGGTTTGTTATAAGTTCGATACCTACGGCAGTCAAACTTTTCTTTAGCTTATGTTATTATTTCTATCTGTGATACTGGTTAGATATTATTATTATTATTCGACCACACGGTGTCGTTGAACGGACGTAACAAGCTCTTAACACCTGCATTTCGGCGTGCATAGGACCCTTTTAATGCGTGAAAGTACATAGTCACTGGTTGTTCCGACAAGTGCTGGCTACGATACTTGAAACTAAAGTACTTCTCAGATCTTTACGACTATGTGCTATATTGCAGTCATTTTTGTAACTGACCTAAAAGTTCAATTTTCCGATATTTCTTAGACGGTGCAATGGTAGCACGATTGCCTATTAGGCGGAGAGGCACAGAGGCGGTCAAGGTCCGAATCAAGGCGTAGGTAGGTGAACCCTGAACCTCCAATGAAAACTTTAGTAGCATCAGGGTTTCCAAGGGTGAAGGGAACGCTCTTCGAGATAACGCTTAAAATAGCGAGCATTAACAGAAGGGGCAGATATAGAGAGAGTTTTACATTTACCAAAGTTAACAACGCTGCATATGTTACATATACAAACATCCGTTTAAAAGAATAGCATGAAAACTGAATGAAGTTCTATTATACTAAAACCCAAGATCCCGTACCATTTTGCTGCGCGCTGTAGTTACCCAGCTCTATATGTAGTGCATGCCGCAAGGTGCAATGATAGGGCAAGCAATTAAGGTATTAATGACTCGTGAATTTTGCCAAGAAAATTGCTATATTGCTAGAAATTATATTTAAAATGTTTTTATTTGGTAGTCATATTATTAACATCAATGTATTACGTGATGATAATAGTAGAAAGTGCAGACGAACAAAAATAGAATCGGTGGCAGTACAATTCCTTTACTTACTCTATTGTTTAACAGATCATAATTACGAGAGTAGTAAGCACTACGTAGCAGATTTGTTTTAAACAAAATTATATATGACAGATATTTTTGCCGCCATCGATGATCACGCCTCTAACTGAAAAAGACGTAAATCATTGCTGCAAGTTGCGTCAACGTACATATTTTTTTCAAGGAATCCTTATTATATTCTTTGTATATACATACAACAATATATATGTATATATATATATAAGAAATGTATATATATATATATATATTTCTTATAGTGCTGCATAAATAACGCAAAAATAATTTCCGAAATAATTACTTCGTCTGTGAAGAGGAATGACAAACTCAAAAGCCCATTGTGTGGATAGCTAAATCCGCTATTCACTGACCGGGCACGACGATATTTATTAGCGTTGACTAAGTATCACCTAACTGTAGAACAAATAAATGAAAAGCAAATTATAATATAAAAACAATCTTATAATTATCTGAAGAGAGATAAATACAGGTTTGTATTTACACAAACTGTGTTACACGTAGTAAGAGGCCCACCAGGCTGTAAAAGGCTAAATACGCAAACACGCACAATCACGTGCTGGTGATATATAGTAACTAATAATGCTTCATTGTGGTAAGTTTCATATCAGTGTTGAGATTATAAACAGTCGTCCTTCATTATCTGATACTATATTATTGTTATTATATAACCTAGCCAATACCCACATTCGACATGTTTAAGGACGTATGGTCGAAGCGTTCTCTGTTAAGCACCCTGCAGGAGACACACAGAGTATTGGTCAGCGTGTTCAAGGCTCAGTGATAACGAAGCTCATGTAATAAAAGAAGCGATTATACACTGCATATGTAAAATAATGTAGAATACCATTTGATAAAGGTGATCAGAAGTTGAATGATCTAATCAGACTGAGCTGCCGGCCATAACATTGTGGAGTTCACAAAGCGTAAAGTATATGAGTCTTATGGTCAATGATATTTGACCAATCTCAACGAAATCCCACTGAGTTGGCCTATTTAACCTTGACTCAACTTGAGGTAAGTGAGCCTAATTCTTTTAAGACGGTGGCTAATATAGAGCCAACTCAATGGTCAATTTCAGATTAATTTAAGGCTTTTGTCCTATTTCAGTCGCGTGGTACAGTGACATAATAGTCGTAATTTAGTTCTAATGAAGCCACTCACCCGTAATGCTCCAAACCTACTACATATTACCTCCGCAGCCTATACAACAATAGATAATTGCCAGAAAGTCACGAACTGTATCTTATAATATTCGAAAAATTCTGCTAGATATATTATTTAGTGACCGTCGCTGTGACCGCATACAGCCAAACTCAAAATTCAGCCACGGGCTCATTTATAACAGCATAGCACGTATTGTGCTATCACAAATTTAAGCACAGAGGTCAGCGATCGATCGATCGATCGATGCTTAACTAAAAAAGTTGTCCATGCTACACAGTGAATCAGTCGCGTCGACGAAGACGGTATATTGGATCCCTAAATTAGAAGATTTCGTTTTCAAGCTATCCAGCGCGAAAGTCCGTTTGGGAACAACGCATAAAAGTTAAAATAGTTAGTTTCTATTAAATACTTACATACAACGAATAGGCGACTAAAATAATGTAAGCTTTAGGAAAAGGGGGGTTTATAAAAAGTTTGTTTGTTGCTGAACTGCAGCGTTCGTTTTAATAACAAACCTATCTTTTTTTTTTTCTAATACGGAGTCGCTTTTTCGCCAGTTTGTTAGCACAATCACGTTCTGCCTAACGATAAACCTACTTCTGCCTTACCCGGTACATAAAACTAGACTCTATGGTACCAAGGTATTCAAAACAGCTTTTCAACAACTATATATAACGGATCCATGCTTTTAAATCAAACTGAGATATCATCTCCGGCGAGGCGCGAGTCAGCGATCTGATTTTTTTAGGGCTGCCGATGGTGAAAAATTCGGTTTGGAGCATCACAGTACATCTCTGATGTTTATGATGACTTTTAAAACGAGCTGCGGAAGCTAGATGAAGCAACCACTATGTAGGGGTCTCTCCTCATGAAGTCCTAGACTTCGTATCCTAAACACGAACTGTATCGTAGATAACTACCTGATTTGCAGCACCAAAACGTATCATGGGACAATTTTGATATAGCAAGCGTTGGAAGCAGATGCAGGACATGGGCAGAGAGTCGTGGTGTTCCATATGTGGCTGTTTATTGTGTTTTCGGCAATTGGCAATAAGCTGAGTTCGCACCCTTTCGAAACTATACGTGACAGAAATACTTACTCTCAGATGACACGATTTTTATTAAACTATTAAAATTAGGAGTTCTCAGCATCGCGGCTTTTCTTATTCCAATCGTGAAAGTATTTAATTTGAAAAAGACATTTGCGTGTTATAGAGGCTGGGCTTATTTTTAACCTCCAACGGTTCCGGCATCGGTGTCTCGTGAGGTACGTCGGCTTCAGCCTTCGGAGTGCACCATTTGAAATAAAGCCTCGGTGACCTTATCAAGGTCGCCAGTAGTGCATGTGGTGATACAGTCATCTAAAGATACGGCCGCTTCTCCGTGTGAGTAACGCGTGCGGTAGCATTTGGCAAAAGTTGGCATTAAACATCGTTTAGAATGCGTTCTGTGTTTCACGCCACTCCTCAGTGTTTCCCGTGCCGAAGAAGAGCGAATATCGTGACCCTGTCACGGCTTTACATGAAATAGCATCTAAAACCCAATTCACAGTTGTCGGATTCGAACATGCTGGTACATACCTGCACGGTA